ACGGATTCTTTCCTGAGGATTTTGTGTTCTCACAGATTGTTCGGGATGTATCTACAATGTACTTAAAAGTTATTTTTTTATAATTATCTCATCCAAAAAACAAAGTGCCCTTAAGGGAGGATACCGCCTTAAAATTGGGAAGCGAAATTAGGTCTACACGAGTAAACAATGCAACAACAAAAGAAAAGAAAACTTCCTTCAGGATGAATTAGCAGATTCTGCACCATTATTATAATATATGATAAATGTTTGGATAATTCAAGATGACTTAATATCAGCAACAATCTTGCAATATGACCAAGGACATATCAGAAACATGAATAAACATTAGTACTCTAAGAAAGAAGGCATAAACTGTCGGTAAACAATATGGATTAAATGAACCAATATTTCCTCGTAAAAAGTTTTGTTCCAAAACAATGAACAATATATTGAACTCTGATCTTATGTACATAAAACTCTTAACCGATGAGAAGAAAAAAAAATGTCCTTCTTACAAAGCCTATTGCTTGTTGTTGTGAGCAATTAACAATAGATGTTTCTGCCTCATTCGAACATATAAACTTTTAACCAAACTAATTAACTAATAAACTAATTACTGCGATTCATAGTATCAGTAACCGCTGTATCTGAAAATTAACAAATATCGGCATGATGGGTAAATTAAACCCTATGGGTCAGCCAAACATCTCTGTACTATTAACAACATCATTATTCAGTTTCATTGGTAGAAAATGAATCACGATCATTCATAACAACAAACCACCTGGATAACACTGACCAATAATTACCTAATTATGAGCTAAGCATCCCTAACTGATTCATAGGAAAAACCATGCCAAAAGACAGATGTGCTTCCTTGAGACACAATTTGAATGAATGTAATTACCAGCAATTAAGAATCAACACTATAGGTAACTTTAACCCAACCCACAGATATGCTTCATAAAACACTATTCGATCATATTGATTGTCATTATAAGCAAATAAATAAAAGACAATATGGGTAATTCTGACCCAATCCTAAACAGATATGCTACCTCAGATGCCACTTGATTGTAATTAGAGGCAGCCATTCATCAACAACATTGGTTACTCCGATCCAACAATGAACAAATATGCTTCATAAGACGTCAATTGATTGTCATTATGAGCAGCCAAAAATAGACACTCTGACTCATTAGTAAACAATATAGGAAACTCTGACCCAACAATAAATAAACAATATGGGTAACTATGACTCAACAATAAATAAACAAGATTGGTAACTCACAGCCAACAATAGACAATATGGGTAACTGTGACCCAACAATAGAAATATGGGTAATTCCGACCCAACAATAAACAAAAGTGTAACTCCGACCCAACAATAAACCAAACAAGTCACTTCGACCCAACAATTGAAAATATGGGTAATTCCGACCTAACAATAGACAATATGGGTAACTCCGACCTAACAATAAACAATATGGGTTACCAGACCCATCGATAAACAATATAGGTAACTTTGACCCAAAAATAAATAACAGTATGGGCAACTTTAAACAAACAATAGACCATATGTTTAACAATAAATAAACAATATATTGTAATTCCGACCCAACAATAAACAGTATGGTTAACTCTAACGCAACAATAAACAATATGGGTAACTCCGACCCAACGATAAACAATATGGGTAACTTCGACCCAGCAATAAACCAAAAAGCTTCATAAGACGCCAATTAATTGTCATTATGAGCATCCAACAATAAAACAATGTGGGTATACCGACCCACAGGTACATATGTACTGTGTACCAAAATAATGTGGGTATACCGACCCACAGGTACATATGTACTGTGTACCAAAACAATGTGGATATACCGACCCACAGGTACATATGTACTGTGTACCAAACAATAAACAACAAAGGTAACTCTGACCCAATAAGTAAATATATACTGTGTACCAAAACAATAAACAATATGGGTAACTCTGACCCCCAAATACCTATCTACTGTGCATCAAACAATAAACAATGTGGGTAACTTTGACCCAATACGTACAACCTTGTACTAAAACAATAAACACTTGAGTAACTTGACGCAATAGCTACATATCAACTTTTTATCAAAAGAACTGATCCAATTAGTACATAATTATTAACTTTGTACAATTTACAGTACTAAAATAGGCTAATCAAAAACTTGAGTAACACCGATTCAATTTTGTATCAACAGTTTAAACCATTAACAACACCAACCCAATAAGAACATAAATTATCCACTTTGTATGGAAACGATAAACATCTTGAGTAATCATGTTAATATTGTCTACACCAACCAACGTAGTACATAAACATTGACTACCTAGACTTTGTACAATGTCCATTCAATATTTATCAATATAGAAAACATTAACTTTGTACCAAAACTGATCAAACAATAATGGGCAATACAAGAAATACCAAAGTATCTGTAACTATTTGAACTATGTATAAGCTCAGTTCACAACCCTTAAACTCCAAAGAGTGAAAATGAGATAATGAGACATGTATTAACATGATTACAATACAGATTTCTCAACTAACCTTGCAAGATAGAAGATATTACCTAATAGATGCCTGTTAATGAAGGGGCGGTGCCTTTACAATGCTGCCTAGCCGTTATACATCATGTTAAAATTAATGCAAAAACATGAAGTTAGTTTGCAAACTATGATAGGTAATTCTCCTTGCAGTTCATCAAAATTGAATAACTTTTGCATAAAATTGCTAACTTAAAAGCTTACACCATAGAGCATACATGATTTGAGTATTTAGCAATGCCTTTTATGATTGCAAATAATTGAAAGTGATAACATACACAAAAATATTCTTGGGAACCGCAAGCGCTTTATGCATAATTGTAATACATTTATAAAGTAAACATGATACTGGCCTTCGTCCTCAATTGCATGGGAAGGCAAACTCTCTTATGCACGCGGTGAAACAGCACAGGTGTACGCCGGCTGGACCTAAAACGCCCAAGTCGTTGAGTTTCAGGGTCTCCCGCTGTGGCCCCAGCTGTGAAATAGCGATGCTTGCAGCAGATTCTTGCAGGATGTTCGTTATCTATCACAACTTTTTGCTGATCGAACTCTGTGTCCACTGATCATGCTGATCGATATAGAGATAGTAATCATTAAAGGTAGCCATTTGTTTCGTTCAATCAGCAACAAATAGCCTACTTTGAAATCCTTTCAAAACTCAGACTGTAGGAAAAAGTTCCACGTTTGATGTCTCAATAAAATCGCTCCATGTTATATGTTCTTCTCATGAATATCTGTTCATAATTTAAGTTCATATCGGCAGAATAACACAGATATATGTACACCAAGTTTATCATATAGTAATCAGGTGTAATATCTTCGATAACCCGCGCACATGCACTGGTCACCGCATCAGTAAACAATAAACCAGAAAATCCACACGCACTTGAAACGGCACTTTATAACATGAAAATACTTTGAAAGCCAAGGCACGTTCAGCTAAGATAAACAATCACAGACGTTGTCACAAATCTTCAAAATACACGTGCCTAATGTTAGCGTGGTCAGCATGCGGGTTATCACAATACAACTGAATGACTCGCTGAGCTGACCACGTGACCTTACACCTATTATATGTAATCCATCAACCAAGGCGTGGATCTAAGAATTTTCACAATCTACCAAAAATTAATCCTACCGGAAACCTCCAACTAAGTTATCGCATTCAATACATAAATACAATTATTATTCTAAAAATTGTTGTTATATGTTATTACTTGCGGAGGATGCAACCAATTCTACATCGGTGAAACGGGGACCACATTGAGAGCCAGAATTGGCGTGCATAAACAGCATATTCAAGTTCCTGAGTACCGTAAGATCAAACTCAGCGAACACATTGATAGATGCGGACAAGGACAATTTAAAGTGTTCCCTTTTTATAAACTTTTTCAAGACAATATAACAGAAAAAAGAGAAAAAGAGAAATATTTCATTCAAAGATTTAATCCCAGTCTTAATTGCTTGCTGTCAGATTCAATTATAGATAATGATTTTTAAAGTATTAATAGTTTTGTAAGACATTGCAGTCAGGATAAAGAATACATTTATAAAACGTCTGAAGATGTAATGAAAGCGCTGACGTTTTAATCTGTGTTGCCTTTTTTCTTTTAATTTTACACATATATATATATATATATATATATATATATATATATATATATATATATATATATATATATATATATATATATATATATATATATATATATATATATATATATATAAAAATTTTGATCTGGTGTCTCTATAGACCTCAGACCATTGCCTCATAATTTCATTCGGGATTTCGTACCCGAACATCGACAGCTTATTTCGATTGACAGATGATACAAGCATAAGTCACAAAATTTGAAAAAAAACGAAATTAAATGATACCTATGGAACTAACATGACCAAATTTAACCGTATAGTTTTTCATATTTCATTCAAAGTTTCACAAAAATGAATTTGAAGTGACAAACATTTAATACAGAGATTAAGAAGGATGGTTGGTGAAAGGTACAATTTTGAACATAATAGAAGGTTAAAAAAATTCTGAATATTTTAGAAATGTATTATTTTATTTATATGCATCATTTACCACAAAAGAATTTATACTAACCCATATAATATTTTTTTTTGTATCATCTATCATTCTAATCACTTTAAAACTTTCTTTTCGGAAAAGGTTTAAATCCACCAAAATATAAAGATTTTCATAGCAATTTGTTTAAACCCCCAAGTTCCAGCAATTATCTGCTTCAAATACTTAATAGTACTTTTGTTTTCCCTCTATTTCCTATAGAAAGACCCATATATAGACATCAGACCAAAATATTTAGTCTCTATGGATCTCTCTGAGATGAATATGTATATTTCCAGAAAGTATTCTTTATGTTTCTACGGATATCACTGATATTAAATATATTTCCAGACAGTATTTTTATGTATACATAATTATATGCCTTGCAAGATATTTATAGAATCGTTGAAAAGACGCGCCCTAGTGCGTCTCCGATCATGTTGGCTTTTAACGTGTTCTATCGGGTATTTACTCTTAATTTTGTATTGACACGATTGATCTAAAATGGGACTTGTGTGTTCCGTAAGATTTTTCCTGGAAGTAATTAGATGGGACGGTTCTGAGAATGAAACGTGGGGGAGATTTCTTCAATTCAAATCAATATAAAGAAAAGGAGAAACACCAGAACCGTACATCTAAGTGATATTAAATGATCAGCCTAAGGTGGATTTGAAGTGAGAAGAAAATTAGCTGATCAACTTATGGTGGACATTGAAGAAGTGTGCCTGAAATCGGTCGTGAATGGACACCATGACAAATCAGTTATATCCATTTTCTCGCATGGACTTGTGTTTGAATGTCTTTTCTGTGCTTTTATTTTGCGTTGATGTCTTTACGGACATTTGGTTGGCCAAAAGCTATTACGACGATGGAATGATGTTAGAGTGCATTTTGACGGCATCTGTTGTTGTTGCTGCATTCATAGTAACTGGAATTTTAAGTTCGATCAGGCTTAGGGATACATCTTATCCGACAACTCGTCCTCCCCGAAATTTCATTTTATTGATTTTGACGTTTCCATTTGCTACCTTAGAGAGGTATATTTGACTTTATGTCATTTGAAATGAGTATGGATAATAATGTAAATGAAAAACATGCAATTTGTGTCCTTTTAAGGTATATTTACTGTGCAATAATTCTTATAGATCTATCTGGAAATACATGTACCAGTAATCCTCGGTCACATTTTGAGTCATATTGAAAAGCCCGGTCGATTGGAGCTTACTATAAATTGACATCGAATAAGCCAATTTACTAGTATGGAAAAGAAAAAAATGTATAAAAATTTGAAATTAGAAATGTACACGATAAACAATTATTTGTCATAATGATTATAGATATAAGCTGAGTAAATAGAAACTTTTTTTAATAAGGGCCCTGAAAAAAATATCTTATCACCCCTATTTTTTGCATGTTGAAATTAACATTTTTTATTTTGCAGTAATATAACATACATATACCATGGCCTCAAAAGCAGAATGAAGGACAATGAGGAGGAAAGTACCTTCCATCATAGAGAAATGATCAACAACAATATGAATGCGAGTCTACTAAGAATGTTTGACGCCTTTATTGAATCCGCTCCCCAACTGCTTCTACAGATCTACCTCATTCTCAAAGAACAAGAGAATCTCAAGGACTGTGAAGATATTTCGATTCGTAGTCGTAAGTTTTTCCTTAGATTTTATGAAAGCTGAAAATGACACCCCCACCCCTTAGTACCGTAAATTCAATATTAACAACATGATAGCAACCTTATAAGATAACACAATCATTTCAGAAGTCATTTAGTAAGCTGTCACTTAAACAGAAGATCTTTTAATGCCCCCGTAATCGAAGATTCAGGGATATATACTTTTTGTCGTGTTCGTCCGTCTGTCTAGCTGTCTATCTGTTTGTTTGCAAAAACATTGACCATAAATTTTGATTTAGTGGATCTATGACTTTCATATTACATACACTTAACAAAACTTCTAAGTGTTCACTTTAATAAATGTTTTCATTTAAAAACTACTTTATAGAATTGTATGATATTTTCATATTATTACAACAAATGAGTCTTCTCAACAATTGTAGAAAGAAAATAAACTATCACCGATGAAAACTAATGTTCCGTGACGAAGCTTGAAAAACAATAAATCTGTACTTTGCGGCACGTGTTCTGTGTAATAAGCATCTTTTTGTGATCATTCTCAAATTCTAAAAACTGGTTTCACTAAAAAACACAAAACATTGGAAAAATGACCATTGAGATAGAAGGGAGAGCCATTGGAATGTTGATATCTGGACGATCATTACACCACTTTTACTTACTTTTATTTTAGTGCTTAATTGTCCTTGATATTACTTTTAAAAATTAAAAACACGTATCAAAATCCATTAAAACACATTTTTCAATAGGCTGTGCGTCATTTTTCATCGCCAATTTATAACAATTTGAAAGTTTTGGACAAAATTTAACCAAACCGGAAGTGACCTTGATTTTCGTCTGAGGTCAAAATTTCGCGTCACACCAGGTTAAATGAGTGTTTAATTGTCCTGAAACAATCTTAGAAACATGAAAACAAACAATTTCAATCGTATGAAAATGATAAGAAATCGGTGTTCGTGACAGTCAAATATCAGCTCAAGCAGTCTGAATCATGCTTAAAGCGGTGCACTTGCGTGCTAAACGCGCAAGGGTATTGTCCAAAAGGCATCTGTGTGATGATGCAATGTCAAATTCCCAGATCTGAATCCCATTGAACACATTTGGGATTTTTAAAAGGAATATCAAAGCCCCCCCCCCCTCCACAAAATTCCAATGGTTTGCAAAGATCTATGCAGTAGGTGTGGCAGCAGAGGTGTCAATCTCCTATTCAGGGGTACATGGTGTCCAATAGTAAAGGATGTCATGCCATTATTAGAGCAAGTGGTGGTCTTACTCCATAGAGATTATTTTGTGTGAATTTTCATTTTGAGTGTATGTCATTACCTTAACACTTTGCTTAAAATTCCGACGAGATACTTACATGAAATTTACGTAACATCGAACTGAAATATGCATCATTAACCATGAATTAAAGAAATTATTTATTGTATGCATTTGTTCTTTAAAACTAAAAAAATGTTAGGTGAACACTTAGAAGTTTGGTTCAGTGTATGTGTATTCCTTGACAAGACCTTTCTTTGGTACCACCAAATTTGACCTTGATTTTGGAGTTTGACCAACTTTTATACAAAAATTCCAAGCTTATACTATGGCCTTAACGTTTGAACGATATATACCAGGACTTTTATACTTCAAATTTGTCATCTCTGTCGTAAGACCTGTCATAGGATAGCAACAACTTTGAACTTTTGACCTTGACCTTGGTGATTTCCGTACTTATACAGCAAAGTTAGGGTTACAAAAGGGAGCAGAGCTTCATTTGTACGGGAAAACTTAACCATGACATCATACAAAACTAACGATTCTTGAAAATACTGCATAATAAGGTGATTTGCTATTTTAACCTGGAAGAAACCATCAAACTACATCAAAACTCACTATAGCATGCTGTTTTGTTAGCTCACCTGCGCCGCAGGCTCAAGTGAGTTTTTCTGATCACATTTTGTCCGGCGTCCGTCTTTCCATCTGTCTGTAAACTTTTCACATTTTCGACTTCTTCTCCAGAACCACTGGGCAAATTTCAACCAAACTTGCCACAAAGTATCCTTGGTGAAGAGGATTCAGGTTTGTCAAATAATGGGCCACGCCCTCGTTCAAGGGGAGCTAATTGGAGATAATTAATGAAAATTTGGTGGCATGATTTAAAAATCTTCTTCTCATAAACCACTGTGTCAGGAAAGATGAAACTTATGGGGAAACATCTTCAGGTAGTGTAGATTCTAGTTTGTTTAAATCATGACCCTCGGGGGTAGGGCGGGGCCACAATGGCCGACTAAAGTTTTACATAGAAACATATAGGAAAATTCTTTAAAAATCTTCTCAAGAATAGCAAAGCCATTATTGATCATATTTATATGGAAGCATCCTTCTTCTTTAGAACCAGTGGACCAGGAAAGCTGAAAGCATTCTGGGGTATTGTAGATTTAAATTGTTAAAATCATGACCCCCGGGGGTAGGGCGGTACGACAATATCGAATCCAAGTTTGACATAGAAATATATAGGGAAAATCTTTAAAAATCTTCTACTCAAGAAACAGTGGGCCACGATAGCTGGAACTTATGTGAAAGCATCCTTGGTTAGTGTAGATACTAAATTGTTAAAATCATGACCCCCGGTGGTAGGGCGGAGCTACAACAGGGACTCCACGTTTAACATAGAAATATGAAGGAAAAATCTTTTTAAATCTTCTTCTCGAGAAGCTGTGGGCGAAAATAACTGAAACTTACTAAGTATGTAGAAGCATCCTTGGGTGGTGTAAATTCTAAATTGTTAAAAACCTGACCCCGGGGGTAGGGCGGGGCTACAATATGGAATCCAAGTTTTACATAGAAATATTTAGGAAAAATCTCTTAAAATCTTCTCGAGAACCACAGGGCCATAAAAGTTTACACTTATGTGGAAGCATTCTGAGGTAGTGTAGATTCTAAAATGTTAATATCATGACACCCGGGAGTGGGGCCGGGCCACAATAGGGAATCCAAATTTTATAGAGAAATATATAGGAAAAGTTTTTTTTCTCAAGAACCAGTTGGCCAGGAAAGCTAAAACTTAAATGTAGGTGGAAGCATCCTGATGTGGTTTAGATTCTAAATTGTTAAAATCAAGACGGGGTGTTGGTGGTGGTGGGGGTGGGTGGGTAGTGGGCCACAACAGATATAAGGAAAGTGGAAATCTGGTTAAGAACTGCATCACCAAAGTTACTCAGGTGAGCGATGTGGTCCATGGGCCTCTTGTCATTAGTTAAACACCCAATTTTACGTTAACACCCCCAAAATCTAACTGATTCAAGATCAATAATTTACAGCCTGTCAATCATTTAAAAAACAATAGCTTCTGATTTGATTGACAAACCAGCTAGCGACGTGTCGTCCAAGAGATATGTTGTAGAATTTAGATCATCCATGTACAAAACTTCCATCGGAAATTTATCGGAATATCCCATGTTTTATCTTTGTATATATGAATACAATTTCCACCATGTTGTCAATCTCTACCCAGAGTTATCGTCCCACTTTAACCATGGCAACGTCTAAAAATTAGTACGAAGGCAGGGGGACGTGATTTTTTTGTTTAAAATTGTCCACAAGAAGATTAACCTATGTTAAAAAATCGATACCAGAATCTAATTCTCACAAATAATCTTTTATTCAACATGTTAAAGAAGAATATAGAAGTTTTACATTCATAAATTAATTTATGATCCAATATGTGAAAGTAAGTTTTGCCAAAAATCTTGGCATGTAGACGTTGACAGAGGTGTTGTAGGGAAGCGAACGACAACTCTGGGTAGCGATTGCCATGTTGTAAAGAAATGTCAGAAACATGAGTTTTGAGAAAAACTTTTTATCTTTGTAAATTTTAGTTCGAATTTCCCAACGTCTGTTTTTATTCGAAATGAAAAATTGAAGATAATAGAAAAATATCAATTCGCAAAGAAACTTCGGAAGCATGAAAATTTTTAAAAACACGAAAACTTTGGCAAAAGATGAATATTTTTGACAATATTGTTGGTAAGAACGTAAATATATTCCTATCGCTGTACATTGTAAATTTTCACACGACGAATATAGGCCTATAAATGAATTTCATTTAAATTTTAAAACTTAATTTAAAAAAGTTATGATTACTTAGTAGTTTCAATCTGTGTTCTTTTCTTTAATTTTACAATTATTATTTTTGAAATATGAAACGATATTTCTTTAATTTGTTCAAAAGTTTTATATTGAAATATTTCAATTATTTCAAGTAGTTTTTTCTCAAAATTAGACACACGGAATGTTGACACTGATTACCAAACACAGACTTCCTGTGTATTGCTATGTGTACATATATAGATTTTTGACATCCTGAGTATCTGGGGTCTCCACGTCAATAACATCACTGTTACCTAGACCACTCTCCCTCCTCAGGTACATATAACCGTACGGTAAAAAAGAAATGGGTCTCTTATTCCCGCATAAGTTGTAAATAAGTCACTATCACAATGCAGTTGTCGATGTGACGTCATTTCGTAAAACGTGAGGCAGATCAAGTAATGTTTTCTCAACGAAAATTTTTTCTATAATATAATATAATATTATTTACAGGTATTCTATTAGCCATTAACTTGGATTCAATATCCTCTTTACGATTTTATTAATATATTTTCTGTATATTTAAGGAATCACTGTCTAGTTTTGAGAGTATGCCAGGGCATCAACAATAGTGGGAAACATGGGATAATTTGCATAACGGGCGAAGCCCGTTATGCTAAATTTATCCCATGTTTCCCACTATTGTTGATGTCCCTGGCATACTTTCATAATTAGACAGTGATTCCTTATATTTCCGTTTCATTGTGAAATAAAATTGTAGACTTAGACATGAATAATGTAGACTAATAGATTTAAATTACACAAGGACATCATGCCAATTTCAATAGTCCTCGCACATTGACGTCAAACACAAGGGCAGCCGCACGAGATTTACATGCATATTTGGCTTCCTTAGCGTCGGATACAGAGACAGATGCGCACAAGATTTGCATGCGTATTAGGCCTCCTTAGCTGCTGACCTATCGACCTGCCTAATTTACATTCCGGCAGAATTATTAAGAAATAAATTCCCCCAACTAGCTTTCAAACAGTTATCACAGAGGCCAAGTCTAATTATTTCAGCCCTAGGGATTTTGATAATTTTTGGATAATTAATTTTTTTTTAAGATGAAAAAATCAAACGCTTTTCATCCCGATTTCTTAAGAACCATGATCTCAAACGTTGTCAAATTTTACCATTGGA